GTGGCCAGGCTATCATCCGTTGGACATGCATGGAACCGTAACGAAACAACCAGAAGCGAGTGCAAAGAAATCAATTGGTTTATACAGGCTAGAGAAAAAACATATTGGAACACTTAAATCAGTGCCCGACTTTCTCAGTAGGAGTCATTTCAACTTGGAATGCTATTCTAGCAGATGTTACCACAGCCCCTCAGTGGACAGCTTTAAGAAGAGACTTGATAAACACGTGCTCACGTACCGATTATCATCTCCCTCTTGGACATGCTGTGCCTGATACATGTCTTGAGACTTACTAGTTGTTGTTACTGACATCTCCTAATATCGCTCACTCAACCTATATCGCTTGCTATCTCTGTTTCCTTTCTCTTGCTTACACTTCGGTCCTCTCTCCCAATTTTCACTACCAACTGATAAACTAAATTATCCATTTATTAACTTAGTTCTGAAAGATTATTCTTATTAGCATTGGAATTTTCTTCTTATAATTCTTCGTATTACAACTAACTGATTTCCGGTCTGTTAATGTGATAGCCGCTGGTATACAGAAACCCAGCTACCCTGAAACAAACGTTTTCATTCGAAAAATGGGGCAGACAAACCGACAAACAACTGCCAAGTGACTGGAACCAGGGAGTAAAGTGACTAGAACACCATCCAATGAACGCCTGGATATGTACAGGAAGAACGAGGATCTAGCACAAAGAAATCAGTTGATTTATACTAACTCGTGAAAAAGATATTGGATTTTGAATTTCTGGTGTTTGATACGTTTTGCTGCGTTACGTTGGGTTAAGACCTATTTTTTCGTCGATGTCTAAAACGAGCTATCCTAGAATGTAGGTCCTTTAAGTTAATTTAAATCTAGGGCATCAAATTTCGCTTCTTTAAATTACGCAACTTTTTACTATCGATTATACGTACATATGTATGTCAGGATGGGACTTTCCTAAATACTGTCGAGAAGTCGCATGTGTATCATTTGTTAGTTTACCTCAGTAAAAGTACCGAGTTGAAAATCTGTACTTAGAGAATGCAATTTACGAAGTTTCGGGCTTCTCGCATAAAGTTAGCCCTTTTTTTCGTTGCATAAGTTGGTTATTGTACGAGAGCCTATTGTTGTATAAATTTTGATAAAAGTCGTTGAAAAATGTAGACAAAATTGCCGTCATCTCGTTAACAGCTGAACTGAACCATATTATTAGATGTATACTACTTGGTTTGAGCATGCGAGACGACAGTAACTGATGGTTATGGACCTTAAATAACTTGGCTTAAAGTAGTTGTCACCATCTCTGTGCTTATATGGTATGGTGACTTTCACTGATGTGTGTATGTACGTAATCGTACGTTGTGTCTGACTGGCCGAGCAGTCCTGTAATAATTTCATTTTGTAACTGTATAGTACTGCGGATACCTGGTTAAAGAAGGTACCTAGTTTGGAGAAGGTAACCGTCTATTCTGTACTAGACATTCTTATATGTAGTAGACAGTGTTGCTGAAAGTATATTATCCGAAAGTATTGTACTATTTCTACCAATGGTCTACAAAGTATTAACAGAAGACTAAAGTATTGTTATCTGTGTTCCACAGTTTTATTTTTCGAATCGCACGTCTGAATAGTGGACCTTGAATACATCTTCCGATCTACCCCGAAAGTCGTATGCCAATATGGATTCATGATATTCTTATGAAAGCCTTAGTTTAAATAGCTTCTCAGAGATCGATCTTGCACCAATATATCAAATGTTGTTAGCTGAAGTAGATAGTTGTCAGCGATGGGATCCAAAAGTCAGTCAGTGACAACGTAGATCTTCGTACGTACGTACATCAGTTCAGGTTGCCATACCGCATTAGCACAGAGACGCAACTGTCAGTTCAAGTCCCATAGTGGTGGCGATAGTAGAAGTATTAGCAGTAATGGAGAAGATAAGTGTTCGAAGCTATTATTCAAGAGGTATAATTGAGATAAATTTAGTAAGAGGAAGATAGAGATGATGAGAAATTCAGGTTAGAATTTAAGAGAACAAAATGAATGGATGCATATGCATGATTGCAAGCAATTTTGAACCATGTCGTTCAAGGTCTCTAAACGTCACTGAATTTCGTCTCGCGGACCCCAACCAGGTGGCCTACATCTACCAACATGACTCAGTCCATTTGTCAGTGATTTCATGGATTTCTGCCATGCTTTGGTCCTGTTGCCCCTAGATTTCTACCAACCTGCTCCTAAACTACATAACATAGCTCGTCGAGGCAGTCGGTTTTTGGGCATTCGTAACACGTCCCAAATGGCGACCGTCTGTTGCAACTGTGCTCAGATAACCGCCTATTTCTAGCAAACGCTAACTTTAGGCATAAGGAGAAGCATCTTTTGTATGTATATGCTTAGGAGAAACATCAGTTGCAGTCCCAAACATCATTGGGAAGAATCGAACAACCAATAAAAATGAAAGTATCAAATGCTAGCTTCCAATAGACGTTATTTCTTCATGATATCCTACAAACCGTGTGGCTTTGTAAGGCAAAAGATTCTTAAGGTTTTTGCCTTTACTTTATCCTAATATAGATTAACTAATGCCTAAAAATGGATTTGTTGATTATAGACCACATTTGTTTTCTATTTTACGAGTTAAATTACTTGATTATCTTAAAGATACTTATGTTTTAATATATCAGTGACTCAGTTCTCACACGTTTTGTCTTCTTATGCAGTGCTTCCTGATATGTTCCACTAGATAATGGTCGACCATAATCTGTGAGTATCATAATCAACGTCTGGCTGTTTCCTCACTTTAAGATGTCGGCTATAAAACCTGGGGAATGGGTCATGCAGGCTCTGCTCCGTCAATTAACAAACTTAGCTCAGTTAAAGATTGAGAAAGCCCTTGAAGATGGACAGGAAACAAATCTCGTGAAAAGCATGAAACTAAATGAGGATGCAGCATATGAACATCTCATAAGTGCTTTTGGTGCTGCCGCTGAATTCGCCCTTCCTTCAGTTTTGTCAACACTCTCATTATGGTATGGATCTCAGCACTCATCTGGGAAATATTATCAATTTCACCAACTTCAGTCTTCAAGTTTAACTAATGAGTATGTCGAAAACGTTGCTTCAGTGCCAGTTCAACGTCCTCTCACTGAGGACAGTTTACATGTGAGTCAACAAGTTTCAATCCTTGGTGCCAATAAATCGGAAAAGACTAACAAGTGTGCCTCGGAATCATCGCTGTCAAAATCCCATAATTTACCTTTACCAGAATTAGCTGTTCTATTTGAACGACGCGATGTATGTTATCAAATATATCTATCCTTATTGCATTTTAATTTCAGCTTGCCATCGATATCATATTCTGTCATATCATGCTTGCAGTTTTAAAACAATTGCCCTTTCATCCAGGTCATAATGATGTTATCAAATCAATCTTAGAGCAATGCTTTGGAAGATTTAACTATAGAGAGGAGTAAGCTTTTCAAACGTCTTTTTTCAAGAATCGTATTTTTGGTCAGATGATGTTGAATAGTCCTAAGTGGCAACATTGTGTTTATATAGTGATTTAAGTTAGCGAAAGCCTAGATCCCAATATTAATTCGTTCTTTTACTCCTTAATCATCATAAGAGGATTATATATATTTGGGTAGTGTCTATTGTTTTTCTTATAAGTACTCTTTTTTACTGTCCTTATGATAACCAGAAATGTTTTTGTTTTTGGAAAACTGCAGTTTGCAACCAAAAAATAGCGAAAATATAAACCTCGTTGCTGATTTATATGCAGAAATCGTTGGACTATTATTCCAGTCAAGGTAATTTTGTTTATTTTCGGAATTATTTACATTTTCATGATGCATGTACAATGTAAACTAATGTAACTATTTCAAAGTGGGACTTTCATTTTGCAAATTTACAGTAAATATTCCGTTTCTCTCTTAAGCCTAAAGTTTTTGACCTGTGCGTATCCAACTACTCACAAGTATCGACTAAAAGTCATGTATCTTATTATTGCCTAGTCATTATGAAGCCTTACCTCCCGAAAGCTAATTTGGCTTAGTATTAATCTAGACAGGTATACTGACAGGTACATCATAACTTACAGACGTTCAAGATGATTGTTTCTACTGCTATTGCTGATAGTGAAAAGTAGTGCTATTATGAATTCTAATGATCCAGCGCTTAGTATATGCGATAATAAAAAAATGTTCGACATCACTCCATTATATTATGTTATTTTAGATAGCTTACCAAATTTACTTACGAAACACTCAAATAACAATATAAAATTAGGGTTTACTATGGTGTCAGATACTGAATTCATAATTCATTCATATATTTTTATTCTATGCTCAGATTTGCTTTGGTGCGTCACAAATTTATGAGTTGTCTGAATGATCTGCGATCTAAGGAAAATAGTCAAAATAATAGAGCTAGTATTGTATCGCTTATAATGGGGATGAAGTTTTTTCGAGTTAAAGTAAGTTCTTTTTTTTACAAGTAATCATATCAATAAGTCTTAGTAGAGTTTTTTATTTACCGAAATTAAGCAGCACACACTAAAACAAAAGTAGGTTTTTTAATCACCTAAGTATCTTCAATAATTCGACCTACGTAAGTGGGATATTCCAGTGGATCGAACCACCATATCATCCATAGCAGACCTTTTTCTATTAAACCTGAGCTGCATCATTGAAGTCTGTGTAGAACGTATCATATTGGTGGTTTGTGTAGGAGGTTCGAATTTGCTTGAAGGTTCCTTAGTTGCCTATTAATTGTTGCTAATTATATTACTGTCGTCACGTGACCTTAGTGTGTCTCTGTATATTACTATGATATTAATCTATTGATTTAAGTAATGTTCAGTACATATACATAACTTTTACGACTCATAAAGTCTCCCCCCTGGTATTCTTGTTATCAGCTTACTCTGTTCATACACTAAATTAATCACAAGTATTTATAACTTAGTCCACCATTATCAAGTCTGTTAATAGGACGGTGGTAAAGATTATTGTTCTCTAGTTTATTTCGAAATATGAAATATCAGTCAGTTCATTTAAGATACTGGTCAAAATTTAGCAACTAGACTAATAAGATAGGTGGTTTTTGGGTGATATTTTGAAGATCATCTGATCAGTCCCGAATCTAATAGTCTACTATTTAGCCTTATATCAAGTGCAGTATTCACTGGCTATTCTGTCGGTAATCGACTATAGAAATAATCCGAAACTGTAGTAATAGAAGTAGTCTATACTGTTAAACAACAAAACTCCACCATAAATATTGTTATTGTAATGTTCTCTTTTAAATTATAGTCTGTAGCAGAGCTCATAAAGTCAGTAATTTTGTTGTTGGCGTTTTTTTTACACAATATGACGTTTTTCCGTAATTCATATTTACTTAAAATATTTTTCAGATGCATCCAATCGAAGATTTTGTAAAATGTTTCACATTTCTGCAAGAATTAGGTCATTACTATTTGGAAGTGAAAGAAATCGAAATTAAGCATGTACTTTCTGATTTGTTTGTTGAAATTTTATTGCCAGTAGCTGCTGTTGCTCGACAAGAAGTAAACATTCCAGCTTTAAAGACATTTGTGGAAAATTTATATCCAGCAAGTTTGGAACTGGCTAGTAAAAAGAAGCATATTCCAGTACGTATCTCTTTATATGTAAATTAGGATACAGAGGTATCTTGTGTATCATTCACCAATTTAAATAAATCAATGTGTCAAATCACATTATACTATCATTTCATCAAAAAATTCTTTGTTTACCCCAATGTAATGGAATCAGAATCTGTAGGAAGAGTGATTTGAGCAGTAGAGGAACATGAATTTACATTTATTTCATTAGTTGCTTACAACCTGCATCATTTGAATTTGAACAGATGGAGTAAGTTCTAGTTAGCGTAAACAAAAGTTAGCATTGTGAGGCAAGAATTTCATATCCCAAGACAGATCTTAAAAAATATGCTTGTGATTACAACAAGGGACTTGTTTATCAAGGTTAGAAAATAAAACCTTTGGAATATACTGAGTTTAGGTCAGTCGGCTGGTCATAATTTTGTAGAACTTGGATAGGATTTCAGTAGACTTACTATTTTACTTATTTAATGCACCAAAACGGTTACAATCGAGTATCAAAATAAGTAGTGGTCACAAAGAAAGAAATGAAACTATAAAAGGGTAAAGGAGGGAAGAAAAAGTACAGTAAAAAATAAAAATAAATAAACGAAAGTATTATACAATAAGAGAGATAATTCAGTTTTATAAAGTATAACGAGGAATAATTATTTTTGTTAAAAGAGTTCCTCTTACTTTTCTTAGGTGATAAAAAAAGCCAAAGAATGATTCTCAGTGACTTTCATTTCAACCTGTCTAATAATTACCCAATTCGGAGTTTCTTCTCGACTATTCCTTCGTTGAGTGAATGTATAGCCATCAGTCACGGATATTCTTATGAGGATTCTACGGTAACAGACCAGCTTAAATGTTCCCCAAGAATCTCTACCCATTGTCCGAGACACTTTTGAATGTTACTAATATGTCCTTCATCAACTTACGAAAGTGTTTCACCGAAACCAGACCTGTCATTGCTAAAGAATAGGATGAGTTGAAAAGGCCTCAGGCTTTGTCAGGCGAAGTTTCCGCTTCCAGCTTGTTAACGCGTTCCAACTACCAGGTTTCTCGGTCCTGGTGGAAACTGCACATATTCACTACTTAGAAATTTACGTGTCATCAAACTTGCCGTTCATAGGAGTAAACAGGAGAGCTTGAGGAAGTCTAGTGCTTATGAGTTGGATGTTTCCCAAAGCCTCGATTGAACAATCAGTTCTTAGGACACGGAAACGCATGATAAGCAAATCAGGCCATGAAGTGATAGATACTCCAAAATGAGCAGAAGTCTTGTACACAACAAAACCAGCAAAGTCCCGACCATAGCTACTATTTTGACGTGGCGGTCGAGCTTGGTTGTCATGATAAGTCAGTTGAGCTCTATCGGCTGGAACATATGTACCTTTGGAGTCTACCATGCAAGGCAGGTCGATTGGAGAACGATGAGACTAAAACGGGACAGTAAGGACTCGGAAAGATATGGACACTCGCTGTTGCCTCTTCGTCATATCTGCCTACGCTCCCACTGACTACAGTTCAGACAATGTAAAAGATGAGTTCTACAGAAACCTTTCTAACCTTCTTCAAAGTGTTAAGCGCTCTGATATAGTAATAATGGTCGGTGACTTTGATCCTCAAGTAGGTAGACTCAGTCAAAACGAAAGACACCTGGGTGGATGTTATGGTGTTGCGGCTCAGAGAACAGACAATGGCGACCGTCTGTGGCAACTATGCTCAGATAGCCGACTATTTCTAACAAATACCAACTTTAAACATGGGAACTCTGAAAATTGACCGAATGCTAGATACAACTAGAGCACATCGCTACCAGCCACCGACGGGTACGCTCTACAGACTACTGTCAATCGTTTTTCAGTACATATCTATAATCAGATAATGCTCTAGTATGAGCGCGTATTTCTTTGGCCTCAACAGACGTAGGAAAGACATAGCAAAGAAATCTCTTACAGTTCTGCTTATCCTATCTGCCTCTCAACATGAAGAGCATAGTCAGCTTAGGCTCAGGTTGACAGGAAGCTTACGCAACGATGGCGTACAGTGGTGGGTAATGAAGGCAAGTTGGATGGAATTGACAGCGGCAATAGGTAACACTAGATAACCATTCAGACTCATCAGGGTAACCGGAATTAGGAATCTGACTGTAAGTGAGACACTATTGAAAGACAATGGGCTTATTATTCATTCTAAATCCAGGAGATTGAATTGATGGGTAAAACACTTCCGGAATCAGCTAAACTGACCTTCAGTTACACTTCGGTTACCCACGATTTGCAGTCAACCTGAGTAGCGAATTGATGTAAGTTCTCCAACTCTTAGTGAGGTTGAGAAGGACCGCATCCAAGGTTGATCTCAGTGTGACCAATCTTAGTCTACGACTGATTTGCAGAAGTAAGACACCAGGTAGCATATCGGCGATGGCTTTGATGAAAGTCGATGCTAGCTAAAAATAAATTATGGTCTGCACAAATTTCTAGAGATGGTGATTTTTACCTATATTGCGACCAGCAAGTCCGTATTTGTCATGTAAACGATCTTTTTTACTTAGATGCACAATTCGCTCATTTAAATCTCCGACTAGCACTACAATATTTGTCACTTAATCGTTTATTGGACTCATGCCAGTTTGCTCCCAGGTTATACATTTTCTAACAATAGTTTCTGACTTTGATGGAACTCTTTAATATAGTGTCAGACTGGTGATTAGCAATCGGTCTCCAAAACGTTAGTGGCGCCTCTTCTCTGGGGCTTAGTGCATTAGCAATATCGGTTTACATGAAAAAACTACGTGTTTGAGAATCTTGTGAATGTTTGACAAGTATACCCGTTTAAAAGATAACTCTACACTCTATTAAGATTTTATAATGGATTCATACGTTCATTATGTAGAGTACTTCAATTTCAGTAGCTTTTTTTTTTCAAAGGCCTTATTCCCCCTGGTGACTTGCTTGCTCTGTGTTGGTACCAAATCATTTTTCTTGAATAATTGGACCAATTTCTTATCTATTTGCTTAAGTCATCTCAAAAATCGAACTTCTAAAGTAGCTTTGGTCAGTTTACAATCTTTATCATGCATACTTTGGTAAGTTCTAAGCTGTTTACATAAGATACATTATTTATTATTCAACTGTTGGTGCGATAATAAGTATTTACTTTTGGTTTGACATGTTAATTTTTTGTTTATCAAATTAAATAATGTACAAAAACCGAACGAACAGAACGAAACACCACAATCATCCACCTGAGCTACAAATTTTCTCCATCATCTTATTTTATTTATTTTGTTCATTCATCACATTATTTACCGTCTACATTTGTCTAAAGGTTTCTATAGACACCTTGTTTGTCGATAATTCTGATAAATTAGTTAAATGGCACAAAGCAACTTTCAAACCCAGAAGAATAACCACTATCTTTACCTCTGCAACACTTCACTTATTTCTTTTTGTTCTAAATTACAGTTGAGGTTATTTTTTTTATGACTGTATGAACCATTAGTGTTATTTATTCTAGACAACTAGGAAGGGTAACTCAGTTTACCTTTAACTTTTATGAATTGTCGATTAAACGATTTCTCATAACGACCTTTTGAAACGGTTTACTAATTACTTGATATACATGTATACCAACTTTTTGTCATTTTTGTTGCCGGCCTGTGTGTACCGAGATAATTTAGACTAAAAAAATAAGACTCTCGAGTTAAGTAAAGCGGTCAAGACGCCGAGTCGCTTCACTCCCTATCATTAGTTCGGGTGCCGATGCAATCGAATCCTGAATCAATATTCTGCATTTCGACGGGGAGAATCTCATCCCGAACATGCATTGTTACTTAAGGTGGTCAGAATACTCTGCATTTTGTCAGCTTCTTCACCAAGTAGAACTATCTCGTCGGCATATTCTAAGTCAACAAATGAATCTCCTGGTAAACGTTCAACTGAAAATTCAGATGATGATGTCGTATCTAAAAGCACGTCAATGTTAAAGTTAAGCAGGAATGGAGTAAGTGGATAGCTTTAACAAATACCACTTGAAGTAATAAATTCCGATGACAGTCCGCCATAAGCTCTAACTCGATCAGTGGTGTTCCAGAAGAGAGCTTGTATAAGGTTAGTGTACTTCTTTGGTACACCTTTCAATGGCAGACACTACCACAGGACCTGACGATTGATAAAGTCAAATGCTGCTTTAAGGTCCAGGTATACAACTAATGTCGGACGCCAAAATGTGTGTCTGTATTCTAGAATCTGTTGTAGTGTGAATATGTGGTCTATTCATCCACGTGTAGATCTGAAACCAGCCTAATTTTCTCGAGTTTGCTCTTCACGAGCAATACTTAAGCGTCGAAGTATTGTCGAGGCTATATAGTTATTTTGTTAATTACTATATCAGTTAAACTGATTCCTCTGTGATTGTCACAAGAGGGCTTTTGTCCTTTCTCATAGACTGTAAGAATCATTGACTGAGACCAGTCAGATAGGATTACGCCCAATTCCCAGATTTCAGTCAATCTCACTGTTAAAATTGGACCACCATCCTTAAAAATCTCAGGGGCAAACCTATCAGGACCCGCTGCTCTCCCTTGCTTCAAATTTCCTATAGCTTTCTCAGACGACTTACGTCGCTTTGCCATTCAGGTTGACTAGACATTGTGTGCTGAAGGCCAGCTGAACTGATTCCTAAAGTGTTCTGCCCATCGATCCAATCTCCTAGATTAAGAATGAATAATAAGCCAATCGTTTTCTAAGATAGTTTCGCTAACAGATGAATTTCTAACACCAGTTTCCTCGATAAGTCGGAACAACTGCTTGCTGTTGCCTATCACCGCTGCTTTTTCCATCGCTCTTGCTTTCGCCGCCCACCACTGTTTACGATCATTGCGTAGGCTTTTTATCAGCTTGCGCCTAAGCTGCCTTCTCTTTTCGTCATGTTTAGAGCCAAGCGGGATGGGTTTGCTAGTGTTTATCAGTTCGGCGGATGCTAATGAAATCCACGGCTTCTCTCCAGCCTTGTGGTTTTGTAGTGAATGAGAACACAGGTGGGGGCAACCGAATTGTATTTAACGAAAATTACAGAGTTAGTCAGTAAAATCGGAAAACCATAT